ACAACTATATTGACAAAATAAGGACAGTTTGTTTTCCAGGCTCATCCATTGTACTGAAAATACGGACTAAAGTAGATGCCCAAATGAATATAATTGTGACTTTTAGAAACCTATTACAATGAAATATTATTACACGTATTGTACTGTAAAAATTAAATTTTCAAAATTAGTTAAGAAAAAGAAATAAAAGGCACTCAGATTGGAAAGTGCGATGGACTAAATGTTTGTGTCCCCCTAAAATTCATATGTTGAAGCCCTAAACCCCCATGTGATGGTATTAGGAGGTGGGGCCTCTGGGAGGTAATGAGGTTTAGATGAGGTCATGAGGGTGGGGCCCCCATGAGACTAGTGTCTTTATAAGAAGAGATCAGATCTCTCTCCACCATGTGAAGATACAGGGAGAAGGTGGCCACACACAAGCCAGGAAATGGGCCCTCTCCAGACATCAAATCTGCCGGCACCTTGATTTTGGATTTCCCAGCCTCTAAAACTGCAAAAAATAATTAAATGTCTGTTGTTTAAGACACCCAATCTGTAGCATTTTGATATAGCGGCCTGAGCAGAGTAATGCAGAAAGGAAGAACTGTAACTATCTCTACTCACAGATTATCAGATCTTATATACATAGAAAATCCAGTGGAAACAACAAAAAAACCTTTGAGAAGTAATAAACAAGTTCAGTAAGATAAATATATAAAAATCAATTCTACTTCTATACATTGTCAATGAGAAATTTGAAAATGAAATTAAGAAAACAATTCTATTCACAATAACATCAAAAAGATAGCATTAACAACAAAAGAAGTGCAAGATATGTACAATGAAAACTACAAAACTTTACTGAAATAAATTAAAGAAGATCGGACTAACGGAAAGAAAACCCATGCTCATGGATTGGAAGACATATAGTTAAAATGGCAGTACCCACCAAATTGATGTACAGATTTAATGCAATCCCTATCAAAATTCTATCTTTGACAAGCTGATGCCAAAATACATATAGAAGTACGAGGAACCCAGAATAGCCAAAACAATCTTGAAGAAGAAGAAAAAAGTTGGAAGACTCACATTTCCCAATTTCAAAATTTACTTACAAAGCTGGAGTAATTAAGACAGGGTGCTAAGAACTGAGAGTCGTGACATCAATCCTTCATTTATAGTCAATTGATTCTCTGCAAGAGTGCCACGACAAATAAATGGGAAAAGAACAGTTTTTTCAACAAATGGTGCTGATACAACTGGCTATCCACATGCAAAAGAATGAAATTGGATCCTTACATCATAATACATACAAAATGTTACTCAAAATGGATTACAGACCTTAATGTAACAGCTAAAACTATAAAAACTCTTAGGAGAAAACATAGGAGTAAATTTCCATGGCTTTGATTTAGGCAATGGTTTCTTAGAGATGATACCAAAAGCAAAAGCAATAAAAGAAAAATCTCTACTAAAAACTTTTGTGCTTCAAAGGACAACATCAGAAAGTTAAAAGAAAACTACAGAATGGCAGGAAATATTTACAAATCATACATCTGATAAGAGGACAACTCAACAATAAAAAAAAAAGCTGAATTAAAAAGTCAGCAAAGGATCTGAATAGACACTTCTCCAAAGAAGATGTACAGATGACCAGCAAACACTTGAAAAGATGCTCAATATCATTGGCCATCAGAGAACTGCAAATCAAAGCCACAAAGAGATAGCACTACACATCCTCTAGCATGGCTAAAAGAAACAAGATTTATCAAATACTCACTGTGGAGTGTTGACAACCATGAGGAGAAATTGGAAGCCTTAAACATCGTTAGTGGGATTGTAAAATGGTGTAGTCACTTTGGGAAACAGTTTGGCAGGGCCTCAAAATATTAAACACAGAGTTACCATATGACCCAGTAATCCTACTCTGAGGAATATACTCAAGAGAAGTGAAAACATATGTCCACAGAAAAGCTCATACACAAATGTTCACAGCAGCGTTATTCAAAATAAACAACAAATAGAAGCAACTTTAATGCTTGTCAACAGAAAAATGCATAAACAGATTCTGATAATTAGAATTACGCATTTGCAGAGCCTTTGTTTCCTTGGCATGTGACAGTTTCATTTTGAATGCATTCTGCATTAATTGATTTTTTTAAGATGAAATGTGAACAAGTTTTCTTTTTGAGGTAGATTGTAATACATGCCTTTTTGGTGTATGAGAAAGTTTCACCTACTACTGAGAAAAAGGTATTAATTTTCAATATTTGCCAAATTGGTTCATATTTAGGCAACTATTGATTTAGCTTATTTACTGATATAAGATAAAATACTATAGTCATGTAAGATGTTACCACTGGAGAAGCCAGGGGATGGGTCCATGGGAATTCTATTTTTGCAACTCTTGTGACTCTATAATTATTTCCAAAATAAATTTCTTTTTAAAAAGCATCATAACTCCTCATTTTCACTTTTAAGTATCCTGATGTTCCGCTTGCTTGTTTCAGATATTGCTGGAAAACCAATTCAAGGCTTTGCTTTTATCTAAAACCTCCTCCTTTTACCCAACTTCATAGAACAAGAATTGGTGTTTAGTGTTTACATAAATGGATATTTAACCTACGTAATTCTTGTGTAATACCAGCAACATATTACATTCAAATCTTGAGGCAAGATTCACAGCATACTCCAGCAATCACCGAAAGGATAACGTGTTTCAGTGGGGATGTTAGTTGCTAAAGGTGGCACATGGACTAATGCCCCTGTCAATAGTTACGTTTCACCAGATAACTTTCTGGCATCATGGGTATGTTACATTTAGTATTAAATGCATATTATTGCCCAAAAATGTGTTTAGGGTTTTTCTTAAATAGATTTAAAAATAATATCAGAGAAATAGTTATATTACATTGACACATCTCATGGTATTTCAATTAACAGTTTCATTAAAATAAGTACCCTGAAGAGTAAGTTTGTCAATTGCTGTATAAATTCATCATATGTTTCTCAAATGTTTCATGATAATCTTCTATATTGAATTTGATTTACTTTTATATCTATTACATCTAGAATATTTCCAGGGGGAAAAATATACTGGCTCCAGTTCATAACAAGTTCCAAAATTCACTTCATTAGATAATATCTGTTTCAATTCTCCAATTACAAACACCAACAAAAGCCCTGTGAGAAGAACCAGTCACTGACTGGACACTGAAATTACACGTGTGCCAATTAAAAGCATGAATATATTAAGTTAGTCCACTGACTCTTTGAGGATATTTAGGTAACTGTATTATGTAATGCCTTGTTTCTAATTGTTAAGTTTATTAAACAAGGAGGCCAGGGCATGAATCGACTCTAATGCCCTGAGGGCTTAGATAAACAAACCAAAATCTAAGCCTGTAAATGCCTCAAGGTCAAGAAATCAAAATGCTAAGGACAACCACTCACATACAGCCAACAAGGCTTTAAGCTCCAGCTAATCAAACTTTCCTTACTTTGCCTCTGCCTTTTCTCTATAAAGGTCTCTCTCCAGCTCCTCTCAGAGTGCTCCTAACCACTTCTGTTTTGGCTCTGCCCCTTTGGAATGGATTTTTGCTCAAATGAACTCTTAAAATTTTTAATAGGCCTCAGTTTATCTTTTAACATGACAGTTTATCAATTAGAGCTTGTAAGAAACACAGCAAGAAAAGAAAGAAAACGTGCAAAGAGCCTAATGAGGCAGTATAGTGTTATACAGGGGCTCAGACTGTCCTTGGGTCAGTTCACCTGGGTTTGAGCCCTGACACTGTCACTTACCAGTCATGCACACTTGGATAAGTTAATCTCTTTTCAATTTTATCAACCACAAAATCCAGGTAATAATACCCTCCATAGCATAGGATAGTACTGAAGATAAAATAAACTAAATGTAAATTTCTTAACACTGTGTCTGGTTCATAATAAGCCCTCATTTTGTCAGCTATTATTACTAACTTTTCTGAGCCTCAATTTCCTTATCCATATATCAATATGCCAATACCAATACCTCCTCTGCCTATAGATTAGTTCTGTTGTGAATCGAAACCAATAATACCTATAATGGTGCTTTATAAACTGGAAAGAGCATGCACTCCACAAATGTAAAAGTCTTTAATACTGTGATTTATCAAATACTCACTATGGATTATGAAGGTTACTGTTTCAAAAAAAACCCTACTAATCTGTTCTTGTTTGTTTTTTAAAAAACTGTTAATTGCCCACAGAATTTTGCGTACACTTGAGTCTAACAGCCACTAAATGACGACTTTGATAAGCACTTGGAGGCAATAACTGACTCATCAGGAAGTCCCTTTAACCTGGAGATTTCTGCAATGCCTTTGAAAGCTCTTTCTGGGCTCATGCCAACCATCCCATTATAACACCACTGATCGTTACAAGAATTTAACTCTACCCCAGATCAAGCCATATCACCTGGAACAAGAGAAGCCTGATAAAACACTACTAGGACCAGGAGCTTATAAAACAGAGGTTCTGTTTTCAGTGCCATGGCTCCGTGTGATTCCTACAGATAGGTGTTCTAAATCACAACTCTCAAAAAAATAGGCCACATTAAAACTCTGCTAAAGAACATGCTCAAAGAAGGAATGATCCCTAGTCACCATGTGCTATGGCTTTAGACTGTAAATTCCAAAGAGCAAGAATAAGACCTCATAGTTCTCTTCCTATAACATGAGAGAGAGTGACACATTCAACATATTCAAGTAATATTAGGGGTTATTGCCATTAAGAAGGATTTGAAAGAATGAGGAGGAACACTGTTTCAGGAAGAGGGAACAGGACCAAGATGTATCAATCTCTTCTCTTCCATAACTTCTACCCTCCTTTACTGGCTTACTTCTCTTTCACCATAAATAAAATCTTATCTCCACTCTATCCCTTTCCCTTCATGGCTAACCTTCTTGAAAGAGTGGTCTCCACACAGTATTTATATTTCCTCACTTCCCACATACTGTAGAAACCACAGCAATTCAGTTTACCTTCACCATTTCATCCTGCTTCTTGTCCTCTTGAGATAGTTCCCTCTCACTGTCCCCTGTGGGATTAAAGAAGTTAAGGGAGGTGTAGTGAGTTTCGCTGGAGGGATCCGAGAAAACCAGTAAAGCAAAAAGGATCTTGGAAACCATTGTACAGTGCTCTGTTGTGACAGCGGGGGCAACTGGCAGACCGCGCAAATTGCTTCGGAGAGTGGTGTGAGGCTAATGATTTAGGAAAATCGTCTTGCATAACTGAATGGAGAGGAGGTGCACCTGGTTCAGAGCTAGCGCTACAAATAGGTCATGAAAACAGAGAAGACAATTTTTCAAAACATACTTAGTAAGCAAAAAGTTTCTTTTTTGGCAGAGCCTAAAGTACATAACATTTTTAAGAAGGCAGATATTTATAAGCATTGCTCAGAGTTTTGGCATAAAATTTATTATCCAAAAATAAGATCCTACTTGTTTTTATAATAACAAAGTTATATTTTTTAAAAAAACAATGATTTAACCTTATTTTTCAAGGCATATCTGTTCAAAGAACCCGATCTTAAACTAAATGTGCACATATATATATCAAAGACATGACACAATAAACACAGCGTTAAACAATCCAAGAATGTCACACCTACACTTCGTCTCGGACTGACCACGCTCAAGTGAGATGAGAATGGCTACCCAGGAAAAGACCACCCAAGGACAGCTACACAGCTAGATGACCAGTCGTCACAGAAATGCTCTCTCACGACCCGAAATCAATGCTGGAAATGTCTTGCCCCTTATCTCTCAGTCTGTGAAATGAATGCCAGGCATTAATAATTTCTCAACCCAACAAAACAAACAGGCACTCACCTTATCATGACTCCCTATACTATCTTGTCCTTCAAAGATGGCTCATATCTAATTTTCTCTGTAAATTTTTTCCCCTCAAATCTTCTGTGAGCCTTTTGTGGCACTTTTAAAACTCAATGAGAAGAGCAGAACTTCTGAAAACAGAGTTCCACTTAACTAGTTCACCACTCACGATTAACTGACACACTCCATTAAAGTGTAAACCGCGCCAACCAGCGCCCATCGCTAACTGAACACCTACAGCTTCTAGACTTTGCCCCACATGATTTATTTCAGCAATTCTGTTCCCCCCAATCCCGTCACATGCTTATTGTAATGAAAACTGTTGGACGTCCAACAAGCACCCATTCCTCATTCTTCTTTTCTAAATAAACCACAATTCAGTCAGGTATTTTCTCCCATCGTCCATTATACGTGGGCAACACAGCTCTAAAAGATTGAGATGAAATTATTACAATGTAGAGGGAATTTGCACTTTGGTCGCCTATAGGTGTCCCTAAGTTCTCCGTGCCATTCGACGAAGCAATCATGGGGATGGTCTGTAACGAGTATTCTTTACATAAGAAAATCTTTGTAGAAAGCCAATCACCAGAGTCACACTTGAAGGAGAGGCCGTACAGGAAAAGTTTACAGATAAATACAGTTGTATAAGTTTTAGGTTAAAATAAAATAGTTTAAGTAGATATGCGTCTTTTTTTGTAATTATATTACTTCAAGCATCTTTTGCTGATACTTTATCAACAACGCTCCCAGCTGTTCAGTTAGCAGCTCCTCCCCAACAAGCGCCTAACTTTTAAAAATAAATCTAGTATTTCTGTTTGTGTCAAAAATACATATTGATGGCTTTAAACAAATATGAATCACCAATAATCCTTGGTTCCCTCTTTTTTCATCTCTAAAAGTTTGCTCAAAATTTGAGGTCCACATTTCTTCATGAATCACCCTCTCCAGAGCTCTCAGCAATCTGCATGCCATGGTCATCTCTATATTCATTTTATTCTCTAGAATTTTCTTTTCCGTTCTACTCTGCAGAGGTGCAGAACCTGTAAAATGCTCAGAATGGAATCCAAATTTCTTGATGCCCAGCTTAGTGTATCTTTAGCTTTTCTCCCTTAGATGCCCTCAATTTTGGCCAATCATCGAATATTATTACATCTTCTTTGCCATGTCAATCTTTCGAATGCATTATCTCCTCACAATCTAGTGCTATCATGACACAGTAAGTGCTTTGGGATGAGAACCAGGAGACCTCATTGAAATATGTAACGGCTTTTTGCCATTTAGAGTCTCTTAAAAATAATTTCAAATATCGAAGTTTCAAGAAATGAGGAACTAAATGTGCATATGTAATAGCATATCCTGGGAATAAGTGAAAGATGATGATTAGCATATATTTGTACTAGAGAAACAGCGAAAAGAAAATGAAATCTAAATCTAAAATCTTTGGGGGATATCTTCAGCATTCAGATAATGCATATAAAATAACATTCTTATATAAAATACCCTTAAAACTAAATACTCCATGAATTGAAATGGTCTGAAACTAAAGTTTGTATTATACTTGTACTATTTTACCCATTTCTTTAATACAAATGTTCAAAATACGTAGTGGGTCAAATAGTGGCCTCTAAAAAGATCTCTTCAAGTCCCAACCTCGGGTACCTGTGACCGCAACCATATTTGTTAACAGGGTCTTTATCTACAGATGTAATTAAGTTAAAAATCTCAGTCAGCATCCTCCTCAATTTAGGGTGGGCCCTAAAGCCAATGATGAGTGTCCTTATAAAAGAAAGGAGAGGGAGATTTGATACATAGAGACACACGAGGAGAAAGCTATGTGAAGATGGTGGCAGAGACTGGAGTTATGCAACCACAAGCCAAGGAATGCCAAGGATTTCCAGCCACCCAGAAGCTGGGAAAGAATCATGGAACTGATTTTCCCTCAGAACTTCCAGAAGGAATCAGCCCTGCCAACGCATTTTGGACTTCTGGCTTCCAGAACTGTGAGAAAATAAATTTCTGTTGTTTTAAGGCACCAGGTTTGTGCTATTGATTACGGCAGTCCTAAGAAACTAACACAATATATGATTACTTATATGCATCCATACATTGTCATTTAAATCCTTTTGGCTGCCAAAAATGGACTTTGTGGACCGTTATAACAAAAATCTCATGTGTATCTGCTCATACAGCTGAATAAAGAAGCATACAGAAAAAGCTAGGAAAACAAAAAAGTTTAGAAAAAAAGCCTGGACTAAAATAATTGCTGTAAAGAACAAATATGGTATAGTAAAGACTACACATCCTAGAGTTAGAATGGCAATTTCTATTCTCAGTTCTATCATTTCTTTGCTTATATAGACCTGCACAAGAGATTTAACCTCTCTGAGCCACAATGACCTACCTCATCTATAGAATGAAAGATAATAGTATTCCTTCATTATGTAGTTGTGAGAAAGAAATATGATAATTTATGCTAAAAAGTTTTGCACATTTCCAGGCGTATAGTAAACTTTGAATAAATGTAATCTGCTACTAATTGGAATCAAATGTTCACAATGGATTATCTCAAAATCGATCCTTTAGAGCAGATATAAATTCCCATGAGACTCCCTGAGAAGCTAGCCTGGTCTCCTTTTTCCAGTGACAGTTGCTCTAATTTTAAAGAACCTCACCCACAAAACTGTTATTAACTTACATAAGATAATATTATGAATATCCCTCAATTAAGAAACAGCTATCTATTTTTTTTTAAAGATTTTATTTTTATCCTTTTTCTCCCCAAAGCCCCCCAGTACACAGTTGCATATTCTTAGTTTTGGGTCCTTCTAGTTTGTGGCACGAGGGACGCCGCCTCAGCGTGGCTTGATGAGCAGTGCCATGTCCGCGCCCAGGATTTGAACTGATGAAACACTGGGCTGCCTGCAGCGGAGCATAGGAACTTAACCACTCGGCCATGGGGCCCGATAGTCGTCTATTTTTTAACCAAGATCACCATTTACTTCTCTAACACAGAGAATGAAGAGTTTCTCGCCCAAGTCATGCTTAATTTTGTTCCACTGTTTTCCAAGTGACCACCTTCTAAAGGCAAGCATCTCCTCTCTTGGCCTCTATGATCCTACATGATCCCCATACAAAAAACAATTATGCAAATCTCTGTCCAGTTCTTTTTAGGTTAATCAATATTGAGTGACACTTGCACAAATCCTTCTATAATTAATACTCAACATGTGAAGAGTATTTCGGAGTACAAGTACACACTGGAACACTAGAGCATTCATTTCCTGATAAAATACTAATCCTATAAATAAAGCATTTATTCTTTCATTTATTTATGTATTCCTTTTACAAATAAGGACACTGAAATGCAAAGAAGCCTAGTAAATTGCCTAAGTTAGAGAGGTATTAGTCTACTATATGTTTTCTTTTGAACTTCTTATTATTAAAAAAATCAAACATATATAAAGTAAATCATATACATAATATGGTTTATTTAATAATAAGTAATATAATATACCATCATGTACCCATTACTTAGTTAAAATGTTTATTTAGAAGATTTACTTTCAATTTCTCAAAATGCCCCTCATGAGACATCAAACGCATATCGCCACTCATTACACATAATCTAAAATGTGCAAGATGTCTTAGGGCAGAAGAGGTAAAAGTGACATTCAGAAAAGAGATTCCAGAATGAGAATTTTCCACCCAAAGCATTCAGACTCTAAACCCATAAAGAGGAAGATCATATCCCTAGGTGCTAACACTTAAGTTACCATAAATGTGTCACCAACACCTTACCCACAAAGCCTGAACTAAACAGGAAGTCTCTGAAAATTCCCTGGCAAAGGCAAAGCCTAATTATGCATAAGCCTAATGGTTATACCCGACATAAAGGCACTCTGAGTCAAAAATCTACTTTCAATTGATATTCAAAGTAAGCCACTCTTAAAAGTGTATACTGGTATCATGGGAGATAAGACCTTTAAATAAGAGAAATGGGGTGCTTCATTTCTCTCCTGCTTGTAACAATGAGCAATTTTCCATTACAGTTAACAAGTGAAATAGTTCCAGGAATCAATTACCATTTTCACCTAGATAGATGTTGGAAAAGGAACTTTCTTTGCTAGGAGTCATCCTGAAGAGCATTGCATCCAATTGACATGTCAATGAAAAAGAAAACAAATTTAGCTATAAATATAAGAATAACTTCAAAGAAGTTAAATTGGCAGGAGTTCGTGAAGATTCAGAACTTCAATAGAGAGTGGAGAGATGGCCAGAGAGGCAGAAAATGCAAAGCCATTTTAGAGAAGTAGCTATGTTTTTAACAACCCTTCCGAGACCAGCCTAGCACAAGCACAGAACAGATGGGGGTTCTGATAATTATAAACATATTTTCACTTCACTTTTGTACAGCTATTAAGAACCATTTAAATTTTAGAAGCCCTTTCTCAGACGCAGCACAGAATACCTAATAAAACACTGGTTACAAATTTTATTGAAAGAATAACTACTAAACAGTCACCAAAAGTGTCTCTAAAAACGCACATATGTTTAGGACTGTGGTTAATCACTGAATGCTTGCTTAGCTTTGCTGACAAAAGGGGCTCTGAGTGAAAGAGAAGTGGTCCAGGGCAATTTTTCTCATATCGATGGTGCCTCTGGAAGCCTGGAGACATCTTAAGTCCATTGGGAAGGTAGCATCTCTGCACTAGAGCCTGCTCTTTAAATTAAGGGAGGCCAATAAGAGGCTTCCAGAAGAAAAAACATTGAATAATTAGTCTGACTTACCACGTGTGCAGAAAATAAAGTAGGCTTCTTTAACAAGGACAAGTTTACAAATACTAATCTTACAAGTAAAAATATGGAAAATAGGTTTTGAAGTAATCAGTATTTACATCTCCAGGTCCTTTTGAGCCACTAATTTACCCAAGAATTTAGAGTTGGAATGACTATCACAGATCTAATGCTTCTCAGACACAGGCAGTAAATCTCTTGATCCTTACTTTGACATTGACACAGGATTCTTAAATGCAAACAACAGAAATGCATTCTAGTTAATTTAAATAAAAAGAAATATATAGAAAGATATTAGAGACTCATAAAAACTCCATCACCACCAGAGAACCAAACTATGTAGTCAGAAACAGCACTGAAATAACAGCATAGAACTGGCCCGCTGTGATCAGCACCTCTGCCATAACCAGGCGCTCTCACCATAGGCCACGTTGCTAACCAGATCTGGGTACCAGATGCTCCGTTAGAAACTCTGCTATAGCTGCCCCTGTAGATGAAATGTATCAGCCGCCATCATTGCCAGAATAGATTCCATGGTGCCTGTTTCTTGTCGCTCATTTCTTACCTGTGTGCATCTGATTGACAGAGCCTTAGTCTAAAGTATGTGTCCCTGATGCAAAAGAGGATGGGGAAGCAAATTTCTGGCCTCTATTCTGGGACATCACCCATAAGGAAGGATTTTCCTAAACACATGAAAAGTGGCAAAAATGTTGGAAGGAAGTATCAAAGATGTCAAAGGTATTAAAGACGTGAGAACATCATCTTGGATTTCCCTGGAGTGTCTGCACACTGGTGTTTGAGAAACAGTCTCAATCATTTACTGTAAGTCCATAATCTGGACCTACTGGCCTCTCCTCTCATCTCCCGCCTCTCTCTTCCCACCAGCCACACTGGCCTTTGGTGGTCCTCCAACATGCAGAGATTTTGCAGCTTTAGGATTTCTGCCCCTGGCTCCCTCTGCCTGGAACTCTACACCCCCAAATTATTCATGGCTGACTCCTGCTTTCCCCTTAGGTCTCAACTTAAGTGTTACTTCCTGAAGAAAGACTTCTCAGACCACTCCAACCATGATGTCCTCACCCTACTGCAGCCACATTCTTCCTGCCACCCTGTTCTATTTGCTTCGTGGCACTCATCACTATTTGATTTGTGCTTTACTTGTTTATTTTCAGGCTCAACCGCCATAATGTAAGCTCCGGGGAACCACAGGTCTTGTCCGTTCTGTTTGCTACTGTATCTTCAGCACCAAGAACAGTGTCTGGCAGACATGAGTCTTTCAAATATTTGCTGCATAATGAATGAACCCCTGGTAAGAGTTTAATAGGTCCATTTTATAAATGTGGAGACTGAGGAAGAGAAGTTCAGAGATTTGTATATGATCACACAGCAAATTAGTGATCAAACAGCAAGTCCATGATTCCCAACCATGCAATTTCCGCAAAGAGAAAAGTGCAAGCTGATTCAGCTGCTTCTTAAAGAAAAGGAGGCAGCAGAGGGTCAGCCCCAGTGGCCTAGGGCTTAAGTTCAGCACATTCCACTTCAGCGGCCCAGGTTCGGTTACTGGGCACAGACCTACACCGCTCTGTTAGCAGTCATGCTGTGCCAGTAGCCCAGATACTAAAAAATGGAGGAAGACTGGCATGGATGTTAGCTCGGTGCAAATCTTCCTCAGCCAAAAAAAAAAAGGGAGGCAGCAGGGAAGAGTAGAAAGAACACTGATTAGGAAATGAGCATGAGCTCTATAATCATGCATTTCTGACTCCAAATCTGTGCCCCCAAATGTAACATAAGCCTCATAGGCTTTTTCAGAGAATTACATGTGATCATACACATATTTTATACGCATACATTATTTCTGTAACACCTGACATGTACAGGTACTTAACAATGGGAAGCTATAAAAATTATTGTTAATTTATGAGTAATGATCCATGTCTGAGTTCACATTCTCTTAATAATATGCTAAGAGAGATACATCCTTAATAATCTAAATCAAAGTCCTCATATATAAAATGAGAACGTTAATTCTTTCCCAAAACCAAAACTTACTGGGAACCTGCTATATGCCAGGTATATGCTATGCATAAGTTAAAGTCTCTAAATTTCTTCCTAGCCATTAATAGTAAGAGCATTTCAATCTCTTATTGCCATCTCCAAAGATTACCTTTTGTCACTGTAGACTAAGGGCAAAAATAGGCTATTGTTATCACTTCTTTCATTTATTTCAAAGCATTTATTAAGTCAAACACTATGCAGAGTACTGGAGACACAGAAGCTGCTGAAAAATAACCCCTGCCTTCAGGGTACTGTTTCATGAAACAAACAGACAAAAAGAAAATTAGCAACAATGTGATATATACATGATGCTATAGGAATGCAGGAGATAGGTACCTAACCTCGACTGTAAATTAGAAAGGTCTTTTTAGAAGAAGTGATGCTGAGCAGAATCCCAGCTGAAAGATGAGGAGGACTTCACCAGGAGTGGAAGACGGGGTCGGACCCGCCCAGCAGAGAAAAGAGTATCCACAAAGGCCCCATGGACAAGTTAAGCCTGGCACCTCTACGAAACTGGAAAGTTAAGGCAGAGTAGGGTCAAAACAGGCCCAAGAAGTGAGAATTTCAAATAGGGCCTGTCCCCAATTCCCTTCAAGAATGCTAATACCACAAATGATTAATCCCCCTTAATTACTTTGCTTTGCTTGAAAAAGGGAAAGTCTTCCATTAATTACTACAGTACCTCTTTAGTCTGGCACTAACTCTCAGTTTGAGCTTAGAATTTATCATATTTTTAGAACATAAATGTGTATTAAACATTATATTTTCATCAAAGCTCAATTTCATGTTTTTTTTTTTAATTCCTTTTATATTAGCAACTTTCCTTAAAGGAGCTCTCCTTTGTGTTTTCTCTGTGCCTGGAACGC